GATTGATTTTTCCAACCCCTTTCGTCTACTTTTACACGCCATAAATCTGATGTGTTTTGAGTAATTAGTGACATTTAGCACCAGGGTTTTCAGCGGAAACCTCGAACGGCAAACCGGTGGAGGTCACGTGAACAAGCCCTGCGGTCACGTTCGGAGTTTTCAACGCGCGTTTTCAACGGCAAGAGGTAGGTTTTCACGTAAGTGATTTACCTGAACGTTTTTTATCCTGATTTTGTTTTTATGCCACGTATAAATCAGAAATTTATGTAAACCAGTCTTTTTAGAACAAGTTTAGAGATATTTTTTTAGTGAATGAGTGAAAATAGGACTTCTTGTTGCCCTTTGAAAATCAAACACTGCTGTTGTCTGAAAATTCAATATGGCGACCTCTTCAATTTCATGTTTTTTTCGAAGGATTCGGTCGTTAGTGGCCTTCTGTGAGCTCATAAATGAGGCTTTCCTCACCTTTAAGGCTTATTATTCAAGCAGCAGTAGATGGTATCTGAGAAAGCTTAAAATGTTTTCTAATTCCAGGGTATCATGGCTCCATTCCGATGGCCAGAAATGAAGCACGAGTTAGCCCTTGCAAAGGAGGTGGCAAAGTATTTACCTGAAAAGCCCCAAGAGTGGGACGAAGTAGCAAAAATACTCAGCAAAGCTTTTTCTACTGATGATAAACAAGTAGAAGTCAAAGGGAGAGGATGTCGAGAAAAGATGGATAGAATACTTGAGAAATACAAATCGGAGGACGCCAAAACTTTGAAAAGGTAACTGTCCCAACACTTTAATTCGATAAAGGCACATGGTTACATCATTTATGTTCTACATTTACAGTTAAACCTGTATCAAGCGAACCTGTATTAATGGTCAACCTGTATTAATGGTCAACCTGTATTAAGCGGTCAGTTTTGATAGCCTTGAAAATTTCTCCCTTTACTTGTTATTCCAAATATTGTGACCTCTGTTAAGCGGTCACCTTTTACAATGCAATTTGGTCCCAACGAGTGTATTGTTATTGTATCAAGCAATCACTTCATAGAGTAAGAAGATACCATCCGAATGTCCAATCAATTATAGCTAAATTAGTACTCAAAAGCTGTAGTTTAGTTTTTTACAAATGAGCAAGAAATATAAATTTCTTACAGTGATCAATAAAAATGTAGGTAGGGCTGAACAATGTCAAATTCTTTATACTGTAGATGTTGAACCTTCATTAAACAATCAACCTGTACAAAGCTACTGGTGACCATTTTACACAGGTTTGACTGTAATTTGACTTTGAAAGGTCAGGCACAGAAGAGGAGTTGACTGAGCTGCAGCAGCTCTGTGAGGACATAATTACATACAGAAGAGATATGGCAGAGATGAGGAAGACAGAAAAGGAGGCAAAGAAAAAAAAAGAGGAAGATGACAGACAGAAAGCTGAGGAAATGAGAAAGGCAGCTGTAGAAAGATTAGCAAGTTAATATACATGATAATTTGATAGCTGTATTACCATAAGTATTAATCATCCAACTGTTCCAAAAAGAGAATTCAGGCTTGTGCGGTAGTCAAACCCATGACCTCTGCATGACTGCTGCAGTGCTCTGCACCAGGAATGCAGAGGTCACGGGGTGAACTCCTGCTCAAGCCAGAATTTCTTTTGGGCTATATTTTCACTACAGCTTAATTAGTGTTCATAACTGCGATGATCATTCACACATTCATTGTACAACATGCAGCCAAAAGTAGCTCATATATGAATCCTGATCAAATTGTCACTGTTGAAAGCTGATTTAGTTTCAACTCTTTTTCTCTTAGAGCGTCAAGTAAACAAACAGACTAAGGTGAAAATACTTCTG